CCTCAAAGCGGATTTCTTTGGAAGGAACATGTCAGCTTTAAGAAAAGGATATAAAAGGACTTATTTCCACTTGTAGCCTCTTTGTTTGGTTGGTTCTGTCACGTATGTCCATTTAAATTGGGTCCATGTAACAGATTTGGGCTGGAAATGCTTTCATGAGCACGAATCCATGTAACAGATTCATTGCTGGTTCCATACAATGTGTTTGGGGTTCATGAGTTCGAAGCAAACTGATGTAACAGATTTATGTTGCTCTTGGAAATTTTGGTTTTGGGGAGACCAAACACATGCAATAGGTTTTTGGCGCAACCCAAACAAATGCAAGAAGCCTGCGCTTTGGAGCACAAGAGCCGCAAAAGATTATTGCGTGCTCTCGAAAAAACAACATCCCCAAACTATTACTACGTTGTTCTTTGGAGTACAAGACTAAGAACAATGTCCCAGGCCACATTCCATGAGGATGCCTTATCCTGTGGCTAACATGAAAGGCATTCAGTCAGAAGAAGGAGTATGTTGCAGTTGGTTTTGCAGTCCGTGTCGAGGGTAGTGTTTGCATAGAGAGAGAGAGAATACAGCAGTACGTTTGGCAAGTCTGTTTGGGGAACAAACATTAAAATCTTTGGACACACTTGGCTTGCAAAAACATTATCAACGTCTTTTTCGTTGAAGCATTGCAACCGTTAGTAGCCACTTCCATGTCGGGGACTATGTTTCGGTGGTTGCCCTATGCAACAAAACTGTGCGATTGCCTTGTACACTAATATTGTAACAGCTTTTTGGGCGCGGGTATGTTTTGTTGAGAACATTCTTTTTGGGGTTGGAGTTCTTGATTTCCAATCAGAATAGCCCAAGAGCAGCCACATTACATGTTCCACTTTTCTGTAGGAGTTGCTTCCAAACGTCCGTTTTCTTGACATGGTGACTGGTGGTTGGTGAGCCGGTGAGTGCATAAGCAAAACCCAGAACGTAAACAGTGACAATAAGAACAACCTCAGAGACAATGTGGCACGGAAGTCGCGCGGATGATACTTGTGTTTATACCACTAGAGTCACTAGGGGTAAACAAATCTCAAAAACTGATGCTAGTACTGACAAATGATTGACCCGGGCTTTCTTTTGGTCAGACTTGACCTAAATAGTGTTGCCGCGGGGCCATAGCTGACAGCTGTTTCAAAGGTTGCGGCCTGTTGAGCCGAAGTCTTGCGATTGCTGGGTTTCGGCTTGAACCTATCTGCCGTCTGACTGCTGACTATTGCTGACTGATGACTTGAATTATGCTCTGTGTTCATTTTAGTGTTGCGAGTGTTGTTTTATGCAGTTAATCTCTAATACAAATTTCAGATCGCCCAACAAGCGGACTGGGGGTATACATCAGTACTGCGTACAGACATAGATAAGCCGTGAAGAAGCCTCAGCAGACATGATCCACTTCATCGCAGAGATTTGTTCTCACTTCTCACAAGGGTAAACATTTTGGATTGTGGCCCTGGCAATCCACTGAGAGTGCTGTATTGTTGAAAAAATCCTCCACGGTCCTTCGCAAAAAATATGGACGGTCATTTGGACAGCCCCTGCGTGGTAAAGTGTCGCGGTAAAGTGTTTTTTGTTACGTGGATTTGTGCTGCCCTTGGGTTGTTTTTTGCTTTCGAGTTAGTTTTTTTGGATCAGAACGGTTCCGGAACGGTTCCGGACGGTTTTGGAACGGTTCCAGAATATAGTTCTTAGCCGGCTTGGAAGGGTTCCGGTTCCAAATTGGTTTTGCTCGCGGTAAAGTCTCCCAGGATTGTTTTTTTCCGGGTAAGACCCGATCTGGATCAAGGAGGGGGAAGGGTACCTCAGCAAGAAGGTCGGGAAAGGAACACTGAGGCAGAATAGCTAGGCGGGATAGAGCGCCCAGTGACTCTGCGGTATGACTAGCTTTAAGGTTCTCGTTGTTCTTCCAAGGTGCAAGCCACAGAACCATCTCGAATTTTTCTCAAATTGACAGTGCCACTGCCATTGAGTTCCCTCAAAAATTTTGACTTGTATTTAACAAACTTAAGGTTGACGAATAACAATGGGCCCCGACTTGAGAACGGAACTAAGGGTCCCGATTTGAGAACGTAAGGGTGACTTAAAACGACTGTAGTCTTAACATGTCTCAACTGTTGCTTTTTTTGATCCAGTTGATCAGTTGATGCTGTCCTTTTGTTGTTTAGTATCATCATATGGTGTCATATCAGTCATATGTCCATTTTCATATTTTTGTTGTGTGCCAAAGCCAGCTACAAGAAACATTCTGTGGAAAAAGGGAGTGCCACGGAACCGTTCTGAACCGTTCCGGCGTCACAACCTCAACAAAATGGATTAGTTCCGAATTAGGTCTGAACCGTTCTGAACCGTTCCGTCGATGGAACCGTTCTGAACCGTTCCATGACACCTGCAAAGTTGTCACGGCAGACTTCCATGGAACCGTTCTGGACCGTTCCGTGTTGACTCAAACTCAACTCTCCTTAAAGGGGTTGAGCCAACAACCACATCATCACATCATAGTTAGCTTGGCTTTAGCATGCTGCTGAGGATGCTGCTGCCAAACAATGGTGGTACTGTACAAATATTTCAGCATCTAAAGAAAATAGTATCATATACCGTATACCTTGATTTGATTCATGGGGTTTGGATATCAATCATCATGATCCATCTCTTGATCATTGTTGCTCATGGTGCGTTTAGCCAACTACTAAATTGTGAATAATGACTGCTAGGCTATAACTTTCGCTATAACTCAGCCAGGCCTTGCGTATTGTTTTTTGCATTTTTGGTGGGGGCTTGGGTTTAGCAAATCCTCATTTGTGCAAACAACATGAATTTTAGTTTGCTTCAGTAATGAGAGGCCTGAAAAAGGCAATTAACCTTTTGCTACAATAATTTGATCCAAACTGGTCTGACTAAGTCCGAAAGTTATTTTGCGTGAAATTTAGTTGCCACGGCACACTTTTACAGTATTTTGACAGCGCAAAGCTTTGTTAAATAGCACTGGAACAAATCTGTCACAGCCTGCACAGAACTCGAATACATGCCCCGTAAATTGCGGCTACAATTGCCGCCCCTGAGTAAAGACGCACGATGGATACAATGTGACTTCATGCTTGCGTAATGAGGCTGACCGCAAATACAGCATAGACTGCAACATGGACTGTTACATAGGATGCCCCCCCCAAAAAGGCAGGCATGTACAAAGCATAATGTGCAACATGCAGTGCGACATGAAGTGCGACATAGTTCCGTACGTGCTTAAAATTAAGTCCTACTCCATTTTGGCCACACAGATAGAGGCTACAAATGGAAATAAAAAAGGACTGTCTGTCTTGCGATTCGAGCTTCCCTTCCTCACGAAGTCAAGTTACGTTGGTTTCTGCAAGATCACCGTCCAGGCCACTGCCCTTCTGTCCAGTCCGCCTAAAAAATACAGCCAAGATCAGCCCAAGTCGGCGGTGGGGCTGGGTGGTCATTTGGGCAACCTGAGGTTGCCTGAGGCTTTGAAGTACCTCCTCCAACCCTTGGAAGTATATTCTGTTGAACTAGAAACAAGAAACAAAGATCAAAGGTGCAAGCGCTCTGCAAATGTTCTGCTCAATTTCTGCCTCAAATGAGACCCTCTCAACTTGGTATTCTTGAGGGCTCTGCAAGAAAATGCACGTACCAAAAACATGTGATAAATTGTGTTTGCTCATGTGGCTGGGGACATTGAATGATAAAAGTGAACTCTTGATAGTCAAGCAGCTTCAACCCTCCCCCATCTGGGGGGTGCTACATGCCATGGTTACAGCTAACATGAGATGAGAAGGGTCTATGGTCAATCGACCACTTCTGAAACCCGGACTCCAGGACTCCTCGGTCCCGACCCAACCCCACTCCCACGTCATATCGCCCAATCTCTGGCACTTCAGACATCAGCTGTCGTCTTTGGACAGCTTTAACGCCTCGGATGCATCAGGCATGAGTCCTCGGCTTTTAACGGTAATACGGCGGGTATTTGTTTTCGACCAACGAGCGGCAACCGTTGGTTCAGATCAGTCGGGCAAACTCTGAAAAAAACAACATAGACTTATAATACCAAGGTCACCTGAAATCAGTCACCTATAAGCCGCGACGCGACTTGTTGGACTGCCATGACATGGATGGACATGGCAACTTCTTCCCCATGACCACTGAGAGTCATCTGCTGACTTGGTGACTTGGTTTCCCCTCATGTAGCCCCAACCTCCTTCCTCTGGCCCCGAGACCAGCCACGTCCCGGCAAGGCACAATCGTGCAAGTGCGGATTGCAGCTCCTGGAGGCCGATCCCGGCGCCACGAGATCCCCGTTGGGATGGACGCTTTCAGACCCCTCAACGGACATCATGCATGCAGAGATGTGCAGTTGTTGGGAGCATCCAAAGTGAAAAGGGGTATGGTTTATGTATTGTTTATGTATTGTTAATTATTGACATCCACTTGCCATCTAATTCATCCTCAAGTCGCCACTGGCCCAAAAAGAACTTAAAGACATCGTGCTATCTTGCGGCCAAGCTTTTGGGAGTTGATCGTGCTTGATCTAAAACCTTTTCGACCAAAGCATTGTTGCGACTGCTCTTTCCTCTCCATCAAACACCTCGTGAAAGAACTCCAACCTGGATCCCACCGAACGTCCCATCGCGCCCTTCGCGGCCAACTCGACGACGACTGGGTCGACGGCCCGGCTCACGCCCGGCGTCACTGACATCGGGGCTCCTTCGCGGTCATGCGCCACATGGGGTCGAACATCACCTGCAGTGGAGCAGTTGAGCGGTTGGCACCGCCCAAACAACAACCAACAACCACAACCACAACAACCACAACATTGATAAGCATGGATGCGAAACTCTTTGAGCACTTTTTCCTTCGGCCTGGTAAGAACAGGTACTATACATGATCATAGCCATAAGGCCGGTGAACCTCAGACAGGCCCCCTCGGATGGTCATCTCTATGATGCCATCCGTTATGCTTTCAGGGCCATCTCATGGGCTCCTTCTTCAAATGTCAGCCCCATGAGATTCAACAACTCGGCAATGCGGGCACCATCCAGGTGTTTGGTTCCCAAGTCCGCTGGATTCACATTGGTGCCGCATTTGCCCAACACAATGTCACCATCCTGAATTCTCTGCTGCAGGCACAAGAAACATCGTGCAATGTGTTTGGCCTTACCGTGGCCACGCCTCGCAAGCATAGCCTTCGCGGCAGTTGCATCAAATACCAACTCTGCTGAAAACTCACAACCCAAATCTTGCATTGTTGCAATGCCACCCAGCAAAACACTCCCAGCTTTGATGCCTGCATAAAACTCCGACTCTCCTGAACTCAAGCTGATCACATGCTGGGTTGAAGAGAAAAAATTTCAACAAGTGACTGCCATGCATCAATGCACCACCTGAAGTACTCTTCCTTGTTGTGAGGCATCCACCATCATCTGAATCTGAAAACATGTTCAACTTGCTTTGCTCCGACTGTTCCGCATAGCGCCACACGAGCCTCCGGTGTCCTCCAAGGTATCTTGCAAGCCGTTTCAAGCCGTTGTAGTGCCCCTGAGTAAGAGTCTGCATGCCCCTCGTAGCCAACTCTTTGGTCGCATAGGCGATGTCTGGCCTGTCCAAACTCAGGTAGTTCGCCCTCATTGTCAAGCTACGGTACCTTGTGATATCAGTACCTGTCAACAACGCCTCATCAGGACTGGAGCTGCTGACACCGGGTGACGAAACTGTCTTGGCTGTTGTCAAATTCAACTCATTCAAAATAATCTCAACATGTCGGGGGTCTGCTTCAAATGTTGTTGCTGTGTGACCGTAATGTACAAGCCTGTTCAAAATGGCAACATTCTGAACATCTGTCTTGTCTGGACCAAGCAAGCCCCCAAACTTCATATCTTGTACCCATCTGTTTGTAAAGCCACATCAAATCATCTTCAAAACCCAACACTGTAATGTCATCACCGTGTATCGAAACTTTCAAGTCTCTTGTAGTCTTGACAAAAAGAACTGGGCTGCCAATGCCAGGAGCAAAACCGTTGGTTGTAAAGAAGTCTGTGATCGCAAGCTCCCAACATGCTGCGGCGTCACGACAGCCATGCATGGCTTTGTTGAGCCGGCCACAAGTTCCTTCTGGATTTCCCGCCTCCACTGGAAGTCTAACGTACACTCGTCTGAATATACGGGCTGTCCAATGTGCACGGCGAATGTCAACAAAAAGAACCTTCTTTCTCCTCCCTTTGCTATCAAGATCTGTGCAACTTCGCTGCAAACTCAAAAGCGTCCTCACGGATTCTAGGGGAGGTGTGGCCGCAAACACCGCCTCGATATGCGACTGCCTGATCTCTTGGATGACCAAGCGAGAGCGGTACGAAGGATGATCTTCGTCTCCTTTGTTGATGTCAATCCAGCGAGAAGAAATTGGCCCTTTAGGATCAAATTGATAAGCCTCTGCTATGGGTACAGTGTCCCATACACCATATCGCACGGCATAATCAATCTCTTCTGCTCTGGCCTTTCTCACACCTGCTGCCGACAATGGTTTGCCGGAAATTTCATCAACAAAACTAATCCAATCATCTGCAAGCTGTAAACCTGAGGGTGCAAGTTCAATGTCCAAATCAACTTCTTCATTTGTTGGACCAAAACTTTTCTTCAGCCCCTTCAAGATACTACGCAAGAGAAGATTGGGGTATACCTCACACTGCTTTGCCTTTCCCCCCAAAAGGGGAACATGTCTGTGCCATACCTTGCCTGGTTTGATGTGGTAGAAAACTGTCTCAACTTGTTTGCATTGCGATAGAATTCTGAATTCTAACGTTTCTTTTGTGGCTGAATGAACATCTCTCAAATCTTGCAAATCAAACGTCACCCTTCTCTGCACACGTTCCCAAGATGGGCCCCCTTGGCCCGGATACTGCCCTTTTGTTGCACTGAAGTTGACCTGCCTGAAAACGCTCAATGCATCTGGATCATTCGAGCAGCGTTTGGAAAGTTCCTGCGCAATGCATTCACTGTTGGTGAGGTAGCCTGTACTCTTCTTGGCAAAACCCTCACCATGCTCATCTGACACACGCATGTCCTGCTCACACATGTCACCAACAACATGAAACACTCCTTCCTTGTCTTTCAATCGTTCAACCGATGGTGACTTCCATGATGTAGCAAATGCCGGATGTTCATGCAAGAAAAATTTGTTCCTCCGCATCTGGGCTTCATATTGTTCAACACAAAACTCAAGATGGTTCTCTGCTTCTGTCACTGCTTTGTCCCACTCCTCCGGATCAATTCTGTACTGATTGAGGTATTGAAGCAAGCTGTACATGCGACATGGGGGACATCCCAACAACAAATCTGGGCTCACATTCTCAATCAATTCTGATGCACTGTCCTTCCGTTCCTTCACATTAAAATCCCATGCAACCCCTTGGTCATCACAGGTTGTCAAGTCCAATGCGAGACCTTGTCCAAGCGCTCTCCTCTGTGCATAGTCTGTCAACCTTGGCGGAGAGAAAAGCTCGACCAACACTGGACTGCTGAAGCTGTAGGCCGCCTTCACGGTCAAAGCTCCTGTCTGCAGGAGGATCCTTCGAGCCTCCACTTCCTCGTCAAGCATGAGCTCCGCTGTCTCATCAAGACTGACCTCTCTTCTCATGGATCACAAGCTCAATTCTTGGCTTCGATCAAGTGATCCAACGTCCATGACCATCGATTCATCAAGATCTTCCACCTCCACCACCACGGGCCCTTCACCCACCTCCACCACCGGTGCAACTGATGGACCAGGGAAATGAAGCGAGGGTGGTCCTCCTGGAAGCAACTCGACCGGACTCTGATCTGGCGGCCGCAAACCTGAAGACTCAGTACCTGGAGATGGCCCAAGAATTTTATCAAGCTCTGTGATCTCTTCATCTTCTGATTTCCTCAATGTCGCCTTCTTCACATCTGCAAGTTTGCCGTCATCAAGCTAGCGTTTCCTCTCATCCTCTCTGTTCTTGTAAGCGACAATGTATTTCTCTGCACGTTCCTGAACTCGTTCAACTCTGGCTTTACCCTCTTCTGTTTTGCTCAACTCATTTGCAATCCTCGCCTTGCAAACTCTGCTGTGCTGACGATGAGCAAGTCCACTTTGAGCTGCCAAGCAACCATCACACCCTTCAGTGTATCCGAACTGCTGCAACTCCACGTCACGACGGATGTAGAGACCTCTTGGCACATAGTCCCTACCCTTCACCTTCGCCACCGGCTCGGGCATCTTCGGCTCCTCTGCTAGCTCAATCTCTATCGGCCGCAAGGGTCCTGGATCTGCAGTCACTGGTGGCTTCAACTGCCACGGCAACCCAATCAAAGACTCCAATGCTGCCTTCGTCCACTGCTCGTCCTTGGGCTTCCGCTTCACGCTCCAAGCTCGTTCAACTCCTCGATCAGTACCAATCCACTTCAAAGCTGCGCCTTCTTGCAAACCCAGATACACCCCATCTTCAAAACGAGGCTCAACCTTGGCGGGATTCCGTTCACCTTTCAATCTCTGAAAAAGAACGCATTCCCCAAATGCAGGAAGCTTCAACTGCCACCGTTTCCCTGTCGATCTTTCATAAGGAGTTCTGCCATCTTGTCCTCTACTGAATCGAGATAGCAAAGTCCCAGCATAATCAATCAACCAAGGCAAGATTGGATGTCGAGAAGATATGGCGGCCCCATAGTTAGCCTCCAAAGCTGACTTTAAGGTCCGACACATTCCCTGGAGCTTACCCACTGCAGTCTCTCTGGGTCCATCTCTCCCCTTTGACAGCATCTTCAAAGCCAACACCGGGAAGTCTCGCCTGAACCTCATTGCGAAGTGCCACCAAAGACCGTTCTGTATCAGTCTTCGACACTGCATCTTGCAAGCCCAAACAACGAAGCAACTTGACAACAATGGTCACTGGATACTGATGATCTGTAACCCCTTTGCACGGCATGGCCACTGAAAAAGTTCTTTGCTCCAAGATCGCCAGAAGAGGCAAACACTCCTCCTCCCGCCGTCCAAGATAAAAGTAGTCCATGCTCACCCGAGGCCTCCTCCTTGCTTTGTCGTCAGCATCTTCTCTCACTCGATGATGTGCTAGCGCTCGTCCACGGCCTCTAACACAATGATTGCACCAACTCCTATATGGCAGATGAGTAACATTGTGCTCATCCACCTCCTGTGCACTTGGCTTCAAGGGTGTGCTTTGTGCGATCTTCTCGATCTCCTCACCCCCACTCAATTCTCCATGCAACTCCTCACCGACACCTTCCCCAGGCGCCTCATAGTCCTCCCAGCCTTCTGGGAAATAGTCACTGGTGTCTACGTGCAAGCTCATAGGACCTGCGCCATAAACATCAGAACTTGGATGCACTGCTAATTCATGGGCCTCATCACGAGCCGCTGTCGTCTCCTCCTCGGCCTCCTCCGCGTTCACTGCATGAATGAAGAACGACCGATCAGGACTTACAGCATACTCTGGACTCACCTCTAGATTGCTGGAGGCACGATCCACGGTGCCGGCCCGTTGAAACCCTCACGCGACGGATGCACAACATGCATCTTCTGCACATAAACACCTTCTTCTTGATGTAGTTGCATCCGCTCTCCGGTCTCAATCTCCTCAATCCAGCTGTCCTCCCAATAGGGTGCCAACATAATCCGATGACCACGATTGGCAACTTGAGCGGCCGACATGAGGACCTTGTGCACCTGAGCAATGCTGAATTCTGTTCCCCTCACCTTTCCTTCTTCTGTCACAATGAGAGGTTTCACTCGATACAACTCTGGAACAATCTCTCCGTTCGCACTCAAGAAACTCACACCGTCAACTGGGGCCAATTGCTCATGCTCTGCAAAAGCTTCTGCTGGGGCAACTGACGCTGCGGCTCCTGAATCAACTGTCACTGTCAATGGACATGCACCTTGAAGATACTGCTCAATGCGACACTCCATCTCATCAAAACGGCCCTGCTCTGCATCCGCCACAATGCGCCTTGCAATGGCCTACGCCCTGCTCAATGCACACAAGTGTTTGATGGTCAAACTCCCAGCGCTCACTGGATGCTTTGGCGCTGCACTCGACGCCGCGCCCGGCGATGTTGGGGACGATGGAGTGGAAACCTGAACGACGGGCGGACTGGGTGCCGACGATGATGAAGCTCCTGTCAATCTCAACCGCTGAAACTCCTCTACTGCAGCCTTGGCATAGCTCGATTGCAACTGAGACAGCAAAGGTGAGGTCTCCTTGTCAACTGCGTTCAAGGGCTTGGGACGGCTCCAACACTGATCCTTGTAATGACCCGTCTTCCCACAGTTGTAACAGACAGGCTTGGCTTTTCCTCCACCTTTCTTCCCTTCAAAGCCTTTGCCTTTCCCTTTTCCCTTGCCGCCATCGGGGATCTTGCCCTTCCCCTTTCCTCCTTCCTTACCTCCTTTGCCTTTGCCCTTCTTGCAATCCTTCTGCATATGAGGACCTCCACAAATGTAACAACCACCTCCCTTGCTCAACCCAACTGACCCAACATCCATTGTTGTTGATGCCACGGGTGCCACCTGCTCAATGTAACTCATAACTTCTTCACGGAGTTCAAGGTATGTGGTGTATCTTGCAGCGTTCATATGCAAGTGCTGTTTCAAGGCATTCGGAACGATGTGAACTAATGCAGCCATCTTCATAGCATCAGAAACACGGTCAGCTCCTGGCCTCGACTCATACTGCACAATCAGGTTCTCCCAACTCACCAATTCCGCCGCCAATCTGTCAATGCTGATCGCTGCCGACGGGTTGGTGATCTTCATAAGGTCAGCTCTTTGACGGCCAATGGTGACCGGGTTGAACCGAATCTGAAGCAACCTGAATGCCTCAAAGCCGTTGGGCCTCCTGGCCTGTCGCACCAAACTCCTAGCCTCACCCAATGTGTACGTGGTCAGCATGGCATAAACATTTGTATCCGCATACTGTACCAACAATGGGTCCAAGTGAGGGAAATGCAACAAAACATCGCCTTGTGTCATGGGTGTCTTCTGTTGTGATGTTGCAATCCATTCCAACACTTCATAGATGCCAGGCATGTTTGAATCACTCAACGTAATGATGCTATCTGCCCAATCCAAGAAACTGCTTTTCCCATCCGTTGGATTGAACAGTCCCGGCTTGCCCAACTGCTTGCTGTCAACTCCACCTTGTTGAATTGCATATGCAACAGCCGGACTTGTTCGAATACCACCTGGGCCAACTCCGCCAAAACCAGGGCCTCCAATGTTGCCAGCTCCTCCAATGTTAAACACTTGAGGCCCACCAACATTTCCAACCCCATTCGGCGTCACACCACCAGCAACCTGTCCAGCAGCCGTCGATGGCCCTGCAGGCACAGGAGGGGGGTTGTGCACCGGCGACTGTCCACCCGGCGATTGATACCCGGGCGGTGAAGCCCCTGATGCTGATGCAGCTCCTGAAACCGGTGGTGCTAACTGGACCTGTTGTTGCTGAACCTGTTGAAGCGCCTGACCCATCTGTTGCATCTGCTCCTGCAATGTGGTCAAGATCGTTCCAACCTGCACCAACTGGTCATGACTCTGCTGTTGTTCCTGTTGAAACCCAGCTTGAACTTGTGTCACCACCTCATGCACCACTTGCTCTGTGACAATTTGTGTATTCTGAACTGCATTCCCCGTCCCTTGCACTGCTTGACTCAATGATTCGATCTGCTGTCGCTGATGTTGCTGTTCCTGTATCATCTGTTGCAATGTATTGGTCAGGGCTCCAAGATCTGCACCACCTGATCCGTCCGCCATGATCAAGTGATCAAACCCAACAACAATGGCAAGAAAACAAATCAATGCAACTGCTGTCTGTACCCCAATCCACCTCCAATGCAACCAGAACGATCGGCCCAAAACTACCGGTCCGGCTGAGCGTTCACGCTCCAAGGGATGCGGGCTTCGAATCGCCCGCTCCCTCATGCCATAGCTGCTGGTTGTTTAAGCGGCCCAGCTCCGCTACCATGCGAAACTCTTTGAGCACTTTTTCCTTCGGCTTGGTAAGAACAGGTACTATACATGATCATAGCCATAAGGCCGGTGAACCTCAGACAATGGATGATTCTGGCTTGGTTTGGGGAAAGGGTCGGACAGTCGATGATTTGGGATCGCTCCGAAGGTCGTACCTCACGCATTTCAACGTCTAGGCCGGAAAGGTCACGATCCCCGGACGATGAGCCGTTAACAGCGGTTGCACCTGCTTGACCCTCCCGCATTGGCTGGTTCCGCCTCTCCACGCACTTTTGAGCGAAGACTTCAGGCTTCGAGATCATCAAAAACGATCTCCAAAATGGTGCATCTTGTCCACCACGTCTCCGTGCCGCGACCTCCTTCGTCTCCCTTGCGCACCACCCCCACCGCGCGGCTTTGGTTCGTGCTGACTGGGCACGCAACGTCCAATGAGTGCGACGATCTGCGGGTTCGTGCCCGGCGGTACGTCCGGCGACCGCTTCTCCACCAGGATCCTGCGATGACATCGTTGGGAAGCGGACCCCGAGTCCTTCGGGTGACCCAAGGGTGAACCGTGAAACTGTTGGATTATCTATGTCTATAACTAAGAAGCAAATCTATCTATCTATCTTTCTTTCTTTCCTTCCTTCCTTCCTACTTCCTAGCTATCTATCTATCTATCTATAAATATGTGTGATCCGTCGATAGCGGTCTTCAAGACCTTCATGTCTTGCGATCTGTTGAAGAGTCTGAGCATGCAAATGGAAATGCATGGAACCCACCTGAAGAGGATCAAGTCTCAACAATGGACGTTTCGACTGCCAATGCTTTTGGCTCAAACCTGGACAGCCTGAAACTCCTCTTTGCTGAGATCAGCTTATGCTCATGAATCCAGCTAGTGCCATGGCATGCCATGGCACATTCATCTGGTTCCCTGCTTCCAAACTCTTTCAAACAATCTTTGATTCTCGTCTTCCCCAGCTGTGAGGATCTCTCCTGGCCGTGAGCTGTGGCATGGTTTGGCAGTCCGCATAAGGCAGGATGCCACCAAAAAGCTCCTTAGCCAAGCTCTCCAAAAAAAGCAAGACCTTCCTCCTCCGGAGCTCCGCTCCCTGTTCAAGCGATCCATCACCCCTTTCAACGATCCATGGGACGATGTTTTTTTCATCGCGCGACTCATGATACGCCTACATCCATAATTTTGCGTGTGATATTTTTCGGTTTAAACGTCAGGTAAATCTTCCATTTCCTGGATGGTCTGGGTCAAAGGTGGTTTTTTTAGTGGAACATCAGCAAACTGACAACGGACCAGCGAACTGACCAGTTTTCAGAGTTCCCCAAAAAACGACATCAACGATCTGGATGCCCAAAAATAACACCGTCAGGACCCGTGTCACGGGGCCGTCAAGAAGACGCTCCCTTCCCAGGACCAGAAGTATTTCTTGTTCAGGACTGATCGCCCGAGACACAACATTGAACAAGAACGTTCCCTCTCCAGTACACAAGGACAAGTTGACTTGCCAGCTCTCGCATCTGCCAAAGCTCGATGAGGATGCAACCAGCGGCCCAAATATCCACCTTCTCCTGATCGGATCGACTCAGCAGTTGTCCAAACATATGGGCAGCAAAACATAAATCCCTTTGCTCATCTTCACAGTCATTCATGTGTCTTGCACCGTTGCATGAAACCTGTCGGCACGAAACCCAAACCTCTACGAAGGTACCCACCAGGTACTCCGACTCCGCCCATGCATCCTTCGCCCACGCATGCTTCAGCTTCTTCTCCAGCTCCCCCACAACAACATCAGACTTCCAAATCAGCCCCTTCCAGCATCCAAGAGAGGTCAAGTGACCTGAACTGGGACTATAGTGGTACATATGGGATAGCCTAGGATGGGCTGCTCAACCTCCCATAGCCTCTTCCAGCACCCTCTTCTTTCGCCCCAGGCGTCCGTCAGCTTCCCCACGCTGGCGTCATAGCACTCGGGTGCCATGTAGCGCGGGGAGCCGCCTTCCCCGTCCAGCTTCCGAGCGATGTGGGTCGACCTCAAGGGGCGAACCACCACGTGCGCGTCTCGCATCTCGCATCTCGCGTCGGGCGTCGGTGGATGAGCGAGATGGATGGAGATGAGCCCGAGAACATGAGGAGATGGATGGTTCGGTTGGTTCATGTGTGGGACAGAAGACACATTGAAAAAAGATGCTTATCTTGGGAGACATAGTTGGTCCGAAGCCTTTTTGCCTTGTCGTACTGAAATCAGTGTCGCATGTCGGAACCCTGAGATAACATGCTCAAGCTGCGCTGCAAAGGAACAACAAGCACCCTGAGGGAGGCCACGTTTTGTGAAACGAGGTTCAAGAGAACTCTTCATGAAGTTGCCAATAGTTGCTGATGACATCTCATGACATATGTCGAATATTGTCCAATATGATATGGGAATTTCACCCCCCCCCCCACCCTGGGGGAATCGAGTCAACGAACCAAAAAACACAATCACCAGGGCACTCCATGCACATCTGATGGGCAAGGCCAAAATCGCAGATCTTCGCATTCTGTCCAGCGTCCAGCAGTATATTCATGGACTTCCTCAGGAAGCACACCACAAGAGGGCAGTCAAAGTGGTATGATCTCATGGGTGCGGAGTGGTGCAGAACACATACCTGGATTGCAGGTATTACAAATCGTCCTAAAACGAGACTTCAGGTGAATGTTGTGTCTCGAAGAATGCTGTCAGCAGCTGTCAGCAGCAGCTGTCAACCCCAACTTGTTAGATGACAATAACTACTGCGCACTCTACTCCGCTTTGAGCTTTTTCCTGCAGACTTGTTGTCACCCATTCGCTAAAGACGGTGACAGCGATTGTTGTTTGCCTCCAGACACATAGTTCTTGCTGTTTGTTGCCTCCTTAGACTGGCTTGGGACATGATGTGCTCCAGCGGAATGCTTGAAACGGGAGGACGGAGGGACAGGCATTTGCTGGACTTGGCTTCAGGTGACTTCTACGTGTTTGGCCCATGAGAAAAGTTGAGGATCCTCTTTTGTAACCTCTGCGCACATTTTGAGAGTGAATCAAAATAGGGAGATCTCCCAGTTCGAACACCTGGAAGAAAAAACATAGACATACATAGACCAATCTAATCCAATCTATCCATTGGTTAGGTGCTTGGGATGATCAATACCCATAGCTTCCATCTCCTCTCGAAAGTTCCGGCCGCATTTTCTCTTTGGACCCTGCGGACGGTGACCCCAGCAGCGAATTTCAGGCGAAAGCCTGGTTTTGAACCTGCGCGGCAGCGCAATGGATTGGAGGCGAACAAAATCGCAGCTGCACTGCAGCTCAATGTCTCTTTAAGACCAACCCTTACTTGTTCCCTTGCTAGGTGGAAAGTCGAATCCACCGTCAATCAGCTGCTGTCTTGTGAAGACCTCCTGCAACTGATTTGCCTGGAACCCAGCCTCCTTAAACTGTTGAGGAGAGTATCCTGCTTCTTGAAGTTCCTGAAGGGCAAATAGAGATGATGGTGCCCGGCCGAAAAGGCCTCTGCTTGCTTCTCCTGATCGAAGTTCTGCAACTGTGAATCCCGCTTCGCAGACCTGCTTGGCATTCCATCCACAGTAGTCACGAAGCTCCTGGCCCGTCACACCAGCCTTGCGAAGTACCTTTGGATGGAAGGAAGACATAACCATCATGCGGATCCATGCACGACGGTAAGCAACATCCACAAGCACTGGTGCTGGCATCTCAGGCTCTGAATCTCGAGCCAAACGTAGAAATTCAATCAGTGGCAAGAAGACTTGAGGTGAATAGTCAACGAATAAACGCCCTTCAGCATCAAGTTGATCTTGCCAACGGTCCGACAACATGGAAGCAAACTTGTTGTCCCCAAGCACGCTGAACAACTCTTTCCTCACTTTGACAACCTCTTTGCCACCAACATCGATAGTGACAATGGTCCGATCTGAAGCCGCCATGGAAAGTTGCGCAAACCCTTTTGTGTGGAAACTTTTGTTGGAACAATAGGGCACAATAGAGCACAACTGATGCCACAAATGACAATACCGTCACCGGAAACTTTCTTTAAGCCTCTACCATATCCTGAAAAAAAAAACGGTTTTTGTGCTGAAGAAGGTGTTCTTTCTCGTGCTTGTTCTTTCTCTTGCCAACTGGCCCAATGCTGTCTGTTGCGATCCACTGCGCAGCTGCGATCATAGCGGCGAGAATGAAAAGGTCCCGATGATCCCAAACTCCACCCGATGATCGCCAAGCGGCAGGTCCCGATGCACCACGCGCTGTGAGTGGAGGAAGGACAAACCCTGAGGGCCGCTGAACAGGGGTTGGGGTTGGGGAGGAGCCTCGCAAAGTTCTGACTCGGTTTGGGACAAGTAGGACCAAAATCGACCAAAATGGTGTTTAATCATGCAAAAATTCAGTGTAAACTTGTTTGAACAGCAAAAACCCAGTAACTGCAGAGTGAAGCTTACTCAGCAAATCTGTCCAAAACCAAAAAACACCGATTGTTGCTCCAAGTGGTATACGAACTTGATGAATTCCTCGCGCGCGAGATATCTTCGGTACCTCTTCTGTGAGATCACAAGACACATCCTAACACTATCAACAATCACTATGCCTTAGATGATCTTAGATGGGTCCCATGTTCATAACCCCCTCCCTGTATTATTCTATATATTATTCTTGTCCCTCCTCCTCCCACCGCTTCCACGCCTCCGCGGTTTGACACGCAATGAGCCACCGTTGCCTGGGCCCCAGCGCTGAGGTGGCCGCCAGTTGAGACCGCCCGAAGAGCCGGTCGTGCAAGGAGCCACCGGCCATGAACTCCTGCGAAGCCCAGGCACAGGCACGCGCGTTTTCTGTGCCGTCCGCGCGGTGAGGAGCAGGGTGGGGCTGGAGGGGATGGAGGCTTGGTGGCCTGGAGCTGGAGGGTGGATTTTGGAGTTTCTGAATGTTTCTGGAAGGTTTTTTGATGCATTTTCATGTGTATTTTTTCTGCACCCGACGAAAGAAAAAATACAACACAAACAAAACAAGACACGACAAACGCAACACAATACACGGAAACCGAAAGAAAAACACAAGGAAAACAAAAAAACATAGACTGAAAAGGGCATCTCTTGTCGCAGCTTTGGGCTTGCATTGAGCAGATTGCGAACACAGGGGTTATTGTTTGGGCCTCAGATTATCAGACCCTTAGCATTTGGAAGGCAACTTGCAAACAAACATAGCACGCGAGTGGTATATGGGCAGCGGATGCCGTTGAATTCAACGTACGAGCAGTTCGAGGAGTTCAGCCTTCTCCTCAGGTGAACATAAATTATTTGCCTGCTATCCTGGGTTCCAGTTTGCATCCAGGGTTCCAGTTTCTTCCATTAAACTAGCAGAAGAAGCATTCAACCAACAGCATGATATGACACGTGAGCAAGCAAGAAACAACATGCAACAAGAAGCAACAAGTGCCACAACCAAGAAAGCAGCACCAATCAACATCGCAGCCCACAAGGAGACCCACAAATTTACACTTCAAGGTCGACAAAGTACTGCACCTTGCACTTTCAGGTCCACAAAGTACCCCACCTGAAAGGAAATCTGCACTTCAAGGTCCACAAAGGACTGCGCCTTCCACGAAATGTGCACTTCAAGGTCCACAAAGTACTGCACCTGCCACGAAATTTGCATTTCACGGTCCGCAGAATATTGCACCTGCCACGAAATCTGCACTTCAAGGTCCACAAAGTACTCCACCTGCCACGAAATCTGCACTTCAAGGTCCGCAAAATACTGCGCCTGCCACAAAATCTGCACTTCAAGGTCCACAAAGTACTGCGCCTGCCACGAAATTTGCACTTCAAGGTCCACAAAATACTTGCAGGTGCAAGGTCCACAAAATACTTGCCCCGAAATGTGTTCAAGGTTTTCACGTGGCAAGGAGCCAACAAAGGGCCGACGTTTCCGTTCAAGATGTTCCCTACTAATTTCGTTTGAGGCAGACAAAGGGCCGACAACCTATACGGGCGGCCGACAAAAGGGTGACAACGTTCATTCATATAATATAAGGACATCCCATTGTGTTATTGTCCCTTCTCCTACGATCGTTCTTGATACCTATATACATATACCTGCGCAGCGTCTCTGTCTTCCTTCACACCATAGCAGGTTGTGACTCATACATTTGGTTTACTAACTTGCTTGATCTTACAAACTCTTACTATATGTTTAACTTCCAATCATGTAGCTGTAGCTACTTCTTATCCAAGTTATCTCTTGCCTGTAATGCACTTGCATTTGGCTTAAAACAAGTATCTACTGTAATATATATATCTAACATCTTCTGGTAGAACTAACCCCAACAAATTGTTCTAAAATTCAACATTCAACATACTTATTGTATATTTTTTTGCTTATCCGGACTTATTGAAGTGCAAGTTAAGATGTGAACCTTCAGGCTTACGTATAGTGTCCTAACTGGAGTTGTAAGTGTCCCAAGTATAAGGAGACATATAGTATGGCTTGAGCCTGGGTCTTGGGCAAGGGCGAACCTGGCGTACCGTCCACAAACCTCGGAAAAAAACAAAGGGTGCATGTGACCGCTCATGACGACGAGGGGTCCGAGACGCCAGTGTTGCAGTATCCGCCACGTGTATCCAGCGTCACCACAGCCTGAGAAAGAGAAGCCTGAGCGAAGATGTCTATAAACCATTATATGTAAAACTATTGGTACTTAGAACTGGTGTCGGCTTCGTTTCGTGACCTTACTTGGGTATCTGTTACTTCTTCATTTTGTCATGTCATCTCCTTGTAGATTGTAATAGTTCTGCCTTGCCTCGTTCTTTGTTTGCGCTGCCTCGTTCTTTGTTTGTGCTCTCTCTCTCTCTCTCTGTCTCTCTGTGCCCTCTATGTTATTTTCTTTTATGTATATACATGCTCAGCCCCCACCCCACGACCTCCCCAAAGCAACCAAATCGTCAGTTTCAAGCCATTGGTTTTCTGAATGGTTGCATTGGTTTTGTAGATGGTTGGACTGGTTTTGTAGATGGTTGCATTGGTTTTGTGGATGGTTGCATTGCTTTTGTGAAGGGCTGCAAACACATTGGAGATGGGGTATTGTCATTGGTTTGACGGGCACTTGACAAACATATTGAATGTGGAACCTTGGTAATGATTTGGCGTGTGTGTGTCTGTCGGACATATTGACTATGGAGCGGTAGTGGAAATGGCAGCAAATGCAAAGGTGATGGAGAAGCCAGATATGCGAAGCGACATAGCCACGGTGGCGTCAATGGCATCCTGCAGCCTGATGTTGCCGGGGTCGATGGAAACCATGCTTGGCCAAAGGAAGGTAGACACTTGCGAGAATATCAGACTCAAAGGGATTGAGACAAGCAGTTGCAGCCAGACAGTGGTATAAGCACAGAAGCAGACATAACATTTGCATTGCAGTGAAGTCATGATGCAGACAACAGACATTATGTATACTCACTTAAAGGACATGTGTTGATGCAATTTTGTTGGTTTACTGTGAGTTGAGAGCTACAAGTTTGAACATGACCCAACGCTCGTCGGCGCTCCTTTTTGTCAAGTGGGGCTTGCAAATCCACTATGCCCCCCCAAGCATGCCACGGGAAGTGGTCACAAAGGCTTCAGGGGGGGTGGCCGGTAAAGCACCTGGGGGCGTCCCGGTGAAAACGGAGGAGTGACGGGCAATGGCGAAGCCAAGACGCCCTGCAACCATCTCCCCCAAAGGTGCGGCGGAATCATAGGCACCATGTTGCCGACGTCATCCACAAAGTCAGCCCTGAGGCGTGCGAGGTGACAGGTGTGCAAGGAAGGTGCCCTATGCAGATCATACCGCGGATTATCCAAGAGGCTCCCCGTCGCTGACATCAACGTCCATGGCGTCCAGCCTGAGATGGGGTGACATGAGCAGAAGGCTATAGGCCAGAGAACGCCAAACAAACATGGCTTAGACACGATACTCCGCATCGCTGGTGTCCATCTCCATACTGTCCGACCTGGTATGGAATGAAAAGAATAAAGCTTGTAGACTTGAATGCAGGCAGTGATGTGAATTTGAAATAAGTGTTGCTTGGCAAGCAGTTATTCAGATAAGGTACTCCCAGTCGTCTTTCGGAGATTGCTTCGGCTTCGCCGCAGCAATTGCGCAAGCCACCAAAGCAATGGCAAGGAAAGAAGAACAAAGAGCAAACGAGGGTTGATGGACTAAGGCTGCGCCAACATCACAGTTTTCGGTTTTTTGGGCGATAGAAAGTAAGACAAGAAACAAACAAAAACAAAATTACTTTACTTCGAGTGATCCCCACCATGACATTTCAATCATTTGTCTTGATGCCATAGTGAGGAGCATGTTGCCATAGTCGTCAGTATTGTAGTTCTCGATGTTGCTTCTGGGTCCTCGGGTTGTGTGCTGTGGTTGTGTGCTGTGTTGTGTTTGTGGTTGTGTGTTTGTGTTTGTGTTTGTGGTTGTGGTAGTGGTTGCGATTGTGTGTTTGTTGTTGTGGTTGTGGTTGCGGTTGTGTCTTTGTGATTGTGTGTTTGTAGTTGTGGTTGTGGTTGTGTCTTTGTGATTGTGTGTTTGTAGTTGTGTTTGCGGTTGTGTGTTTGTGGATGTGTTTGTGGTTGTGTTTGTGGCACTGGTAGTGGTTGTGATTATGTGTTTGTAGTTGTGGTTGTGGTTGTGTCTTTTTGATTATGTGTTTGTAGTTGTGGTTGTGGTTGTGGTTGTGTCTTTGTGATTGTGTGTTTGTACTTGTGGTTGTGTTTGTGTTTGTGGTTGTGTTTGTGGTTGCGTGTTTGTGGTTGTGTGTTTGTGTGTTTGTGGTTGTGTGTTTGTGTGTGTGTTTGTGGTTGTGTGTTGTGTGTATGTTTGTGCTAACGGCTCTAAAACCGTACGTGCGTTTTGGATGTTTTTGTGCAATTTCCCATATATATGTATGCGTCTATGTTGCATCTTGACGTTGCGTCTCACACATATAGGTTAACGTTGCACACTGGGTTGGATGCTATGTTGTGCTATGCTGGTGACGTTGCACGGGGTTGGGGTGGGGGGGGGCATGTTGACGTTCCTGTGACGTTGCACACTGGGTTGGATGCTACGTTGTGCTATGCTGGTGACGTTGCACGGGGTGGGGGGGGGGTTGGGGTGGGGGGGGCATGTTGACGTTCCTGTGACGTTGCATATGTATGTATAATTCTGTGCATGTGAATATTTTTTCTCGGCAAAACAGTTTTCATTACTGTGTGAGCATGTGTGGGTCCGCAAAGTGAACCGTGGGCCATTGGGTGTACTGAAAGTGCACACTGGAAAGGTTGACAATTGCTGGAAGCAAGCAAAAGCTTTTTTGCCAAGCAACATGTTGACAAAGAAAGGGAAGAACAAGGATGTGATGTTGTGGTTGCGTTGGTGGCAATGGCGCTATGAAAACAAAACCGCTGGGCTGTTCACAGTGACAGCCTCCACGTTGCGTGCACACTGAGCTGGACCGATCGACTTTGTGAAAAGGTTCCGATCGAATCGGTGAACATGTGTGTTTTCTCAGGTTTTTCGTGTTTCAAGCGAATTTTGGTCCAAGTTTTGGACACAGAATTTCCGATTTACAAGAGGTTCCAAACCCTCTTTTCCATTGTTTTTTGCGATTTGCAACACCTCTGAAGTTGGCGTGCGAAAACGCACGCGCGGTTTTAGATCCGCCGGGATGTTTGTGGTTGTGTTCGTGGATGTGTTTGTGGTTGTGGTTGTGGTTGTGTGTTTGTGGTTGTGTGTTTGTGTGTTTGTGGTTGTGTGTTTGTGGTTGTGTGTTGTGTGTATGTTTGTGGTTGTGTGTTTGTGATTGTGTCTTTGTAGTTGTGTTTGTAGCTGTTTGTTTGTGATTGTGTTTGTAGTTGTGTGTTTGTGATTGTATTTGTGATTGTGTTTGTGATTGTGTTTGTGATTGTGTTTGTGGTTGTGTGGTTGTGGTTGTGTGTTTGTGGTTTTGTGTTTGTGGTTATGTGTTTGTGATTGTGTCTTTGTAGTTGCGTTTGTAGTTGTGTGTTTGTGATTGTGGGTTTGTGATTGTGTTTGTGGTTGTGTGTTTGTGGTTGCGCGTTTGTGGTCGTGTGTTTGTGATTGTGTGTTTGTGGATTTTATCTGGCAAACTATCTGGTTGAGGTCCAGCTGTGCACACTGCGATCGGATCCTTGCGGTTGAGGTCCAGCGGTGCGCACTGCGATCGGATCCTTGCGGTTGAGGTCCAGGCGTGCACACTGCGATCGGATCCTTGCGGTTGAGGTCCAGGGGTGCACACTGCGAGGGGATCCTTGCGGTTGAGGTCCAGGGGTGCACACTGCGATCCGGAGCTGGCCAGACAAGATCGGCGAAGCAGATTGGCGATGAAGATTGGCGAGGAAGGAAGCAAGGAGGAAGGAGGAAGGAGGAGGACGAGGAGGCGGCGGAGGCGGAGGCGGAGGAAGAACAACTGTGATAAAATCTAACAACCCTCACCTGGCAGGTGGGGAAAAACACAAAAAAACAAACACTAAAAAAGCCAAACAAGCCAAAAACATCAGGATAGGAGGATATCCAAAAACATCAAAACAAAAAAAAAAACTATGAGGATAGGAGGATCTCCCATGAGGTGATGTTTTTTTTGTCCAAGGGGCCCTCCCCAAGATCTCCAATGAGGCTGTTTTTTGTTTTTTTGGTTTTGCTGTGGTATTATTTTTCTTGTATTTTGAAGCATATTATATAAAAGGCTGAATATTAGTGAAGGAGGGTACCATGTAGCACTTTTTTGCTTTATTTTGTGATACAAACAAATATGCATAAAACACTGTAAATTTCAATACAAACAGCATGTCAGGGCGCGGGGGGGGGGTGACCATATATATATATATATATTGTGTTTCTTTTCTTCGCTCACCTTTCTGTCTACGATGGTTTCTTTCCGGTTTTTTCTCTTCCTTCTCATCCCTCTGCGTTCATTGCTTTTTTACTGTGATCTTTGTGGTCTAGTGAATGCCCTTCCTTTAGTTTGTTTCTTCTGGTTGCGTGCCTTGCTCTGCTATTTCCTTTCTCGATCTTTGTTGCTTTGCAATCTGTGTCCTCGTCTTCTTCTTAGTTTTCCTCACCTTCTCCTGGCATGTTCTGTGTGTAGCCGACTTGTGTGCTTCTCAGTAGCTTGCTGGGGGCCTTCTTCAACACAAGTCTGCTACACACTATAAAGTGAAATTCTCCGTGTTCTGAAACGGCCTGTGACGTCCCTCAAAAATGGGCGGCCCGGGAGACCGTAATTGTCCTACACTCTAAAAGGCCTGTGGCTTCCTCAACCCTCAACATAGGCCTCTTGTAGCCTCTAATAAGGGGCTTAAACGTGAGAGGAAGCCACAGGCGGTTTTAGAGTGTAGGAGAATTACGTCTCCCGGGCTCCCCGTCTTTGAGGGATGTTACGGGCCCCTGCTCCTGTTTCTAATAGTTCTAGTAGTGTCCCATGATGGACAATTCCACATCCAACAAGTTTTCGTCCAGGAAACAGCATACACAAACATCAAAAAGCATGCTTGAACACCACAAAAGGCCACCTCGAATAGAGAAGACCATCATCACGTCTAATCCCCGTGAGACTTCCCAAGACTTCCCCGCCCCCGCCCTCCCGGCACCGTGACCACGAGCAGCAGGGGAGGCTGCACGCAAGCGCCCAAGAAGCGCACGAGGCGAGGGTGGCGCAAGCGACGCAAAGCGTCCACCTCCTTCTTCATCGCCTCGGCGCGGGTCCGACCGGCGAGGGGGGCGCTCGAATCCGCGCGCGGGTGGGAGGCGGGGTGGGAGCGGTGGGCGGAAAAGAGGCGCTGGGGTGATGGGAGAGGAGAAAAGGGCAGGGGGGGGGATGTAGGGAAACCACGAAGACTGTCAAAGTGCAAAGAAACTGAGCCAGAATGAAGGTTCGCTCGAATGAATTGTTCGCACCGGAAGACGCAAGGCTTTCCATGCTGAACTGGTTGTATCAGCAGAAAGAAGGTTCAAACTACTTTGTGAGACGAACAAACAAACATAATATATATATCATATAACTATAATGCAGCGCCAACTGGTTCCAGGTCCTTTCTAATTGGGGACTGGGTCTTGAGATTAGATAACATTCGCAGATTATTTGGCTCAAGTTCTTTTTCCGCGAAACCCCTTGCGGTCTGTTGTGCCAACTATTGAAACTTGGACGCAAACAGTTTGTTGTTGGCATCACTTCAAGAAGTTCTGAACCAATGGCATCTCAGTGTAGCCATTCTCGATGATATACCTTGGATAATGCACTATGCACAAAGCACCGAGGGGTAGTTTGTAATTGTTTGGTTCAAGCAAAGCCAGGCGAGTTTGTAATTGTTTGATTGTTTGGTTCAAGTAAAGCCAGGTGAGTTGCTCCTTTCTGGCATCCCAGGCCACCTGTTGAGCGTTTGGATCTCCTTGTCTTGCGGCCTTGCTATATGCACAGCTGTAGACCTAGGATGGCCCAGAAGGAAGGACGTGAGAGGAAAGAAACTGTATGAAAGTACTCCATCAAGCGATAGGAAAATAGGAGAAAGGAATTGAAGTGGATGTGTATATACAAATATATGGGAAGAAACGGAGGGAGCAGCAGCCGAAACAATTCATAACACATCGTCAAAACTCAAAAACTAATACGCTCCCAATGCCCAGCGACACTGTGAAGTTTCTTTTTCACAGACACCTCATCCACACGCTTCTTGATCGATTTCTTGGGCATTGCTTTGGTCTTGGGTTTGCGTTTAGCTTGGGCCGGATTGCTGGAACCTGATTGAACTTGGCTAGATCTCTTGGCGGTTTTTTTGCACTTTCCCTGTTCCGGGTCATCATGGCTCCCGGGGTTTGCATCCCCATGTTCATGGGCCATGGGTACACCAGGGGAACCACTCTCCTGATTTGTTGTCTCTTCCTGACCATTCTCTTCATCAGCGATGATCTTCTCCAACTCTTCGATTTTTTGCAAGAGTTCCTCACGTTCACCTTCACGTTGACTTGCAGCAATGTGCTCATTGTTTGTCTCCATGTGTTCTGAGAAATCAGAAAGGGATCCATTGGGCAAAGCTTCATGTTGCCCATCTCCAATTTCCATGGATGATTCATGTAGATCGGAAGGGTTGGCATCACGCGTGTCATCATTGACAACCATGGGAATTTGGTGCTGTGCTGCAAAGGTATTGATCTCCCCAAGGCAGGACTCAACTGCTCCAAGGGCAAGGGCTGCGGCTTCGTAGGTGATATATGCCCCGCCATCCTCATGCCCAGGATCTCCATCCTCCAAGTTTGATTCATCCTTAGAAGGAAAGGAGCTGTAGGCTGTACTGTAATTATATATAGGAAGGGTATATATAACTATATAATATGTTTGTGACTCACGTATTTCACAATTAACTCAACTGTAAGGATATAGGCTTGGCAAAGCCACACCCTGACAGATTTCCTGGTGTTGCATGACATAGTCACCACCGCCACGCACCGTGCAATCCTACAGCCAAACACACGCTGGAGCCAATCTTGATTGACACTTTCCAACGCTTTCCATACATTTCTGTTGGTTTCCAACCTTGGTTGACTCTGGTTGACAGCTTCCAAGAATCATGCCAAACATCCTCAGGAATGTCTTCTTCAATTGGCTCGGCAACCTCCTCCAGGCCTGCATCCTGGGATGGAGAGAGATGGAGAACCAATGCAACATTAGGATAATAGGGTCGAGACTCGAGACAAGCAGAGTGTCGTTTTCTTTCAAGAGCTCATACATACAACCCTCAGTTTTTTTTGGCTGCATGTCGTTGAACCAAGCGGCTGGGTTGTGATCCTCATCGGTCGCCCTGAGTGTGAGGGCTTAGACATCGGGCTTGAAATCAGTTTTAATCGACTGAACACTTCCATTCAGGGAAGAAGCACACAATAGGAGCCAAAGGCACTCTTGATCATTGGTGTTCTCGATCATATGCGCAAAAGGCAAAGGGCTCGCACCCTGAACGTCATCATCAGAAGGTGACGCAGCATTCTCCTGCTCGAAAAACTGTTGCAGTTACAGTAAGCAAAGGCCAGCAAAAGAAACCACGGTAAAACACCCCTCCTTGTTTTCAGCTTTTGATGGCCTCCTTCGTGGTGTTGCTCGAGGTTTGGGAGCTTTCATGGACGATTTTGCCTTGGGACCATTCCTTGAGGACCTTTTGCCCTTCTCAGTACCACCACCATTAGGATCCGGATCAGTGTCTTTGCCACCAGACCCACCCAATGGACATAGCGGGTCATCACTGCCACCGTCCTCCTCCCCATTGCCATCCTGTTTACGTTTCTTGCTTTCTTTGGGTTTGCTCCCTTTGCCCCGCCCTCTTCCTTTTCCCGTTTTTGATTCCTTTTCCTTCCCTTTTGACTTTGAGTCTGCCCCCCTTGGTCTTTGAGTCTTGCCCACCATCTGGACTATTGGCTGATGACTCCTCAGATGTAGGAACCCGGTCAGGTAGCTTGTGCTGATGCCCATCCCCTGCAACAAGGGTCAAACCAATCTCAATGCTCAAAAGGGAAACATTATTTAATAACTACAGTGACTACAGTCCTTCCATGCACAAGGGAGAAACAAATCAGTTGCCTGTTGCTACAGGTGCTGAAGTTTGGGCTGAACCTGAAGCTTTGGCTGCCGAGGCTGGTGGACGCGAGGATGGCGGCCGTGGAGCAGATGGTGGCGTATCGGTTTCTCGAAGGTTATTCGACGATAAAAGCCGTTGGAGATTGAAGTCCTGGGCGAGCAAATGAATCCATAGGTCCAAGAGCTGTTACTTCAGGCCATCTAAGTGTTGCACAAGATTTTACAAGAAAGTTCAAGTAGTCTTAAAAGAACAAAACATGATCCAAGGGGCAGGAACGCGGAGACAAGTCGTTAACGGCACTTCGTGGACGCTATCCGAATCGGAGTCCCCCATTCTGCCCACGGTCGCACTGAAAGGGAAAGAAGTAGTTCCCAAAGTTGAGACCAAGATGCTGCTGTGGCAAGCAATGAGCATTGGCAAGCATACATCAAAAGCGCAATGCATACTTTGATATTGCTGCTCAATATCATGTTCTCACTGAATCAGGGAATATGACTCATTTTTTTCGTGTATTTGGCATCTCATGTCTCACTGGTACTGGTCGCAATGAGGTATGCTGCGGATTTGGCCAAAATCAGAGCCGCTGTCTACTTCCAGGGCCTCTTTGCATTGGTCCCCAGGGTCAAACCAAAACCGAGAGCATGATCACCTATGGCATGATTCAATGATATCAGCCAATGCTTTGCGAGGCAGTTTGGATCCCACAGTCCTTCTTGGGACTTGCGCGGCTTCCCAGTTCAGTGGGGGGGCACTGCTAGGTTTGACAAATGCATTGAAAGCATTTAAGAGAACATTCAATGACTCTCATCAACATGATGTAGGATAAAGCTATAGATATATTTGATAGGTATTGAACCACATCAAGATTGAAGACTGTTCTTTTTGTGATGACCCCCCACGAAGAAAGGTTCAACATTATCGAGACTTTACCGTTGTCCTTAAACAGTTCAATTAAAGTTGGGCTGAAGTTCAATGAAAAACACATCTGGCAAACCACAAAATGATTGCTCATATGCTGAACCGCTCCACAGCCTATCTCACAAAAGCTCACATAAGGCGAAGGTTGGCGTCGGATACCTCCAGGCTATTCTTGAGGCAGCAAATGGGCCGGATGGGCGTGATGACTTTGTAGCCGTCCTTCCCAGAGCAATCCAACCTGACAAGTTTGTTTTTGTTTGTTAGTCCCACCACCACCCAAAAAGAAAACAGCTTAGCAATTATGGGCAATACTTAATTCAGGCACCTGGCCTGCACCTCCAGGCAACAACCAATGTGTCATTGGTGCTCTTGATCTTTGTGATGGAGGCCAGGCTTCCAAAGGTTCTTGCATTAGGGCCTGCAGGAGTCTTCTTTCCGCTTTCCTTCTTGACAGCAGGGTCTTTCACATCGTCGAGGCAAAAGACCAAATCTTTACACGATGAAAAATCGCTGTCTTTCGACTGGTGGTGGGAGAGAGTGACTTTGACCTGGCTGGATTGACGAAGGGACAAAGGGAGGACTCTAGCAAAGATTCTACTCAGAAAGAATGTCCTGAGCGTAGCGGGTAACAATTAGTTTAAAGCTGGGAAAGGCCTTCATTGAGAAGTCTCTAGTTTCTGGGTCATTGTACTTTCACATTTCCAGCAAGACTTACAACATCTTACAACAAAATAACTTCGATTCATCAATTTGTGAGCCAAAAGCAAAATAACAATTTTAGTCTTTCACATATCGAGTCGCTTCGCCAAGGTCTTCGAGGTCAGTCATGAGAGCCTTCAGCTCCACAGGGTGGTTGACATTGTTGAGCTTGGTGAGGTGCGAAGGCAAGTTCTTTCCCTCTAGCAATACAAGGGAAGAGGCCTTCAAGTTGAAGCTAAACCATCGGCCATCCCCTTCTTGCATGACTTCACGGGCTTCCTAGGTGCATCGCTTCCACAAAGGTGAATCCAATTTGAAGTGAGTGGGGAACGACATATTCATGTAGGGAAAACAACTCATAACATGCAAGAAGCTGGCCCATCTCGCCATTCTCCACTTCCGAAACTGAACCTGCTGTGTGTTTGGTACAGCCAGAAGGTCAAATTCCTTATTTCTTAAATTCCTAAACTTGCAGTGAACTCTAAGCTGAAAGAAACAAAATCACTCATCAA